TTCTAAAATCAGTTCTAAAAGCACAGACATCACTACTAACCTTATAAAAATGGAAAGGGTGATGGGAGACTGCCATGAAATAAGAAAACAAATTCGATAGCTTAGATAAGTGGACAACTTCCTAAAAACACATGGACTAGTCAAACTAACTCAAGAAATACTAGAAAACTTGAGCATGCCTATAGCAAGTGAAGAAATTGGATTCGTAATTAAAAATCTTTCCAGGACAAAGCCTAGGTCCACTGGCTTCACTGGTGATTTCATCAAATACCCGAAGAAGAATGAGCACCTATCCTTCACAAACTCTTCTAGAAAACAGAGAAGGAGGGAACACTTCTAAGCCCATTCTACAAGGTCTACTGCCCTGATACCAACACCCAACAGACAGGACCAAAAACAAACTACGGACCAACATCCCTCATGACTATAGACCTAAACCCCCAACAAAGTGCCAGCAAAGCCAATCCAGAAACACATGAAGGATTTGCTCACCCCAGATATGTGGGATTTATTCCAAGGATGCACAGCTAGTCCAATAATTGGTTAATAAAAATACATTATATTAACAGAATAAAGGAAAAAAAACACACGACCATCTCAAAAGATACAGAAACAGCATGTAACAAAGCCCAACACTCATGATGAGAAAAAAACAGCCTCAACAAACTAGGAATAGAAAGGAACGCCCTCAAGCTGATGAAGAAGATCCACACGAAACCTACAGCTAACATCATACTTAACAGACGACTAAATCCTTTGCCCCTAAGATCAGGAAGAAGACAAGAATGTCCACTTTTTGTCACTGCTACTCAGCATTGTATTAGAGTGTCTACACAGGGTACTGAGACAAGAAAAAGAAATAAAAGGCACCCAGACTGGAAAGGAGGAAGTAAAATTGTCTCTATTCACCGACACCATAACCCTGCATCATAGCGAGGAATGTGCCGTAAATGAAATTAACAACCCCCCCCATTCACAATAGCATCCAAAACATAAAATACTTAGGAATAAATACAACAAAAGAAACGCACAACTTATACACTGAAAACCACAGAACATTGCTAAAAGAAATTACAGAAAACCTAAATAAAATGGAAAGACATCTCCTATTCACAGATTGGAAGAAAATATTAAGATGGTAATACCCCTAAATTGTTCTTGAGATTCAACACACTGAATCTCTAGATTCAGTTTAATTCCTATTCAAATTCCAGCTGCCCTTTTTGCAGAAGTTGAGGGGTGGATCCTCAAATTCTTATGGAAATGCAATTCGTTTTTTTCTGGGTCCTCCAGAATAGTCAAACAATCTTGAAAAAGAAGGATAAAATTGGAGGACTTACCATTCCTAATTTCAAACTTCCTAAAACACGACAACAATTTAAATAATATTGTAATGCGTAAGAGGAGACGTATACGTCAACTGAATGGAATTAAGAACCCCTAAATAAGACTTTACATTTATGGTCAACAAATTTTTGACAAAAATGCCAAGAAAATTCAATGGGAAAAAAATTATCTATTCAACCAATGGTCCTGGGACAATTAAATACCCACATGGAAAAAGATTAATGTGGACCACCTAACTCACACCACTCAGTACTTAAAACGGAGGACAGATCTCAACCCAGGCACTAACACCATAAAACACTTGGAAGAAAACGTAAGGGTTAACCTTTGCGGTCTTCAATTAGACAATCACTTGAGCACAAGACACAAAAAGGAAAAATATCATAAATTGGATGTTAAGCTTTTGCACTTCAAGAGGCAAAATAAAGATTAAAAAGAGACAAGTCACAGAATGAGAGAAAACATTTACAAATCATATGTGTTCAGAATATATAAAGAACCCTCACAACTCAGTCACAAAAAGACAATTAACCCAACTAAAAATTGGAGGAAAAATCT